AACATAGATGCTAAAATTCTCAATCCTAGCAAACCGGATTCAGCAACACATCTCAAAAATCATCCATCATGACAAAGTAGGCTTCATTCCTGGGATGCAAGGCTGGTTCAACATTCATAAAAACATAAATGTAATTAAATATATCAATAGATGTCAAAACAAAAACCACATGATTATATCAATCTTCTCAGACCTAGAAAAAAAAACACAGGAATTCATATGGAAACACAAATGTCCAAGAATAGCCAGAACACTCCTCAGCAAAAAAAACAAAGCAGGTGGTATCACATTACCAGACTTCAAACTTTACTATAAAGCTAAAATAAAGCAGAAAGAGCTTTTGATAAAATCCAGCACCGCATCTTGATAAAAACCCTTGAACATCTAGGCATACGGGGAACATACCTCAAAATAGTAAAAGCCATCTATGAGAAACCCACAGCCAGCATACTCTTAAATGGACAAAAATTGGAACCATTTCCCCTGAAAACTGGTACAAGACAAGGATGCCCACTCTCACCCCTCCTGTTCAACATAGTATTGGAAGTCCTGGCTCGAGCAATCAGAGAAGAGGAGGCAATCAGAGGTATCCAAATAGGAAAAGAGAAAGTCAAGTTAATCTCTCTTTGCAGATGATATAATTGTGTACCTTGAAAACCCAAGAGAATCTGTCAAAAACCTCCTTACACTGATAAAGGCCTTTGGCAAAGTCTCAGGATACAAAATGAATGTACAAAAGACAATCGCATTTCTCTACATCAATAATAAACAAACAGAAACCCAAATAAAAAACACAATTCCATTCACAATAGCCACAAAAAAAATGAAATACCTTGGCATCTTCCTAACCAGAGACGTGAAAGACCTTTACAATGAAAACTACAAAACACTGCTCAAAGAAATCAAAGATGACACAAATAAGTGGAAAAATATCCCATGCTCATGGATTGGAAGAATCAACATTGTGAAGATGTCCATCCTACCTAAGGCAATCTACAAATTCAATGCAATACCCATCAAATTATCACCAACATTCTTCTCAGACCTAGAAAAAACAACACAGGAATTCATATGGAAACACAAACGTCCAAGAATAGCCAGAACACTCCTCAGCAAAAAAAACAAAGCAGGTGGTATCACATTACCAGACTTCAAACTTTACTATAAAGCTATAATCATCAAAACAGCTTGGTATTCGTATAGGAACAGGCGTATAGATCAATGGAATAGAATTGAGATTCCAGAAGCAAACCTCAATTTCTTAACCAACTCATCTATGACAAAGCCTCCACCACCTACCACTGAGGAGAGGAGAACCTATTTAGTAAATTGTGCTGGGAAAACTGGCTGTCCACATGCAGAAGATTGAAACAGGACTCTTATCTATCCCCATACACAAAGGTTAACTCCAAATGGATCAGAGACCTAAATGTAAAACCTCAAACCATAAGAACCTTAGAAAATGAAGGAAATACCCTCATGGAAATCGGAACTGGCATCCAATACCTGAAAAAAGCCTGAAACCCACAGGTCATAAGACAGAAGATAGACAAGTGGGACCTCATTAAACTGACAAGCTTCTGCAAAGCCAAAGAAACCATCAAAAGAGCAGGGAGACAGCCTACAGACTGGGAAAAAGTATTTGCCAACACCAGGTCTGACAAAGGTTTAACATCCTGGATTTACAAGGAACTCAAACGTGCTAAAAAGAAAAAAACAAACAACCCCATTATAAAATGGGCAAACGATATGAACAGACACTTCACAAAGGAAGACATCTGAGCAGCCAACAGACACATGAAGAAATGTTCATTTGCATCATCAGGGAGATGCAAATCAAAACCACACTGAGATACCACCTAACTCCAGTCAGAATGGCAATTATCAACAACTAAAAGAAATAACATTTGCTGGAGAGGGTGGGGCGAAAAGGGAACACTTCTACATTGTTGGTGGGAGTGTAAACTAGTGCAACCTCTGTGGAAATCAGTGTGGCGATTCCTAAGAGCTCTAAATATCAACCTCCCATATGACCCTGCAATCCCCCTACTGGGAATATATCCTGAAGAACTCAAATCACTCTATAAAAAAGATACCTGCACACGTATGTTTATCGCAGCATTGTTCACAACAGGAAGAACCTGGAAGCAACCAAGCTGTCCATCAAAAGAGGACTGGATTTTTAAAAATGTGGTATATATACACGATGGAATACTACGAAGCCATAAAAAAGAACAAAATCATGAAATTCGCAGCAACCTGGATGGAACTAGAGTCTGTAATACTGAGTGACCTCTCACAGAAACAAAGATCCGCGTATCACATGTTCTCACTCATGGACCTTGAACATCCAATGTAATACTATAAGAAAATGACTGAGAGTACTGGGAAACTATGTGGGGGGAGGGAGATGGGATTAATAGTAGCAAATATCTGTCTGGGCATGGGGCAACACCTCTTATCAACAGGGTGCCTGAATGAAACGTAATTGTATACCTAACCCTTAACTGTACCCCACAACATCATAATAAAAAATATTGATTAAAAAAAAAAAAAAAAGAAATGAAAATTCTTGTGCCTAACCCCAAACTTACTAAACTAAAACCCAGGGACAAGAACCAGCAATCTATTTGTTAAAAGTTCTCCGTGTGACTACACTGCACCCTAAAGCTTGAGAACCACTGGTTTAGGTTTATCTTGCACATTTCCTGCTCTAACCTGGAATCATCCATTTCCCCAAGAATCCCTAGCTTTTTTAGTGATGAATCATATTCCAGGGATACTCATTACCACTGATTTGCCATTTGGAACAGCATAATTAAGAAATAAGCTTAAATAACTGAGTAGTTAGCAAAAGAACTGAGACAGAGTCTAAGTATACTAATTTGTAGTCTAGTACTCTTTTTACCATATTTGAATGAATTATATCCATGTGTAAGTTGCACATGGCTATCCGCTATCATTTTTCATAACACTGATATCTATAATTTGCTGAGACAACTTGAGAAGTCAGTCATCCACTCTAAATTAGTTTTCTCTATATGTAAAATATAAATAAATAATATAATCTTTCTTATTTATCTCTCAGCTTATATTAACAGGAAATACAAGATTACATATGAAACACTTCTGGTGTTATAACAACTGACAGAAGATTGGAAGAGTACCTTTGGTTTACATAGACAGACTGGTAATAGAAAACATACTAAATGCGTGGGAGGGAAGCAGAAGACAAAGGAAACAGTGAAGGAGCTAACATGAAGACAGGCTTGCCTTATCATAAAATAAATATTTACTATAATTAAAAAACAATGTGGTCATAGTTTAAGAAGAGAGATTAAACTGAAATCTTAGAAACACAGTAATTATTAATCAATTTCATAAAACATAAAGATGCCAATTCAAAGCAATGAAATAATTTCCTATTAACATTCCAGTAAAGTTGTTAGCTATAAAGAAAATATATTCCCATCACACAAAATACTTTTAAATGAATTAAATTTAAAAATAAAGGTAAAAATATGAAAGTACAAAACAACTTAAAAATATTTATGGGTAAATGTATACTCTCAAAATGGGGATAAACTAAGCAAACAAAATCAATGGGGAAAAAGCAAAACATAAAGACAGATTTGAATTACATTAACAAAAAACTGAAAATTCAAGACATGAAAAAACACTCAAAGTTACTGGTATTCAGAGAAATATAAACTAAAACAAAAATGAGATATTTTCTACTCATCAGATTTGCATTTTTTTAAAGAGGAGGAAGAACATGAAGATGAGAAAATGCCAATATTAACTGTTATTACCAGGAGTGAGGGAAAATTGGTATGCTGTTTTCAAAAGTGTATGCATTTGAGGAAATTTATATGTTTTATCTAAGGAGTATAATCATAAAAGTTATATAAAAGAGGAATTTAAAAAAGAAGCAAAAGGTAGAGTCATGTCTTAAATGAATCTGTTTTAAAGCCTAAAAATGGCATCTAGATAATAACTCCTCCAAATTTCTCCAGTAAAGATTGTATACATGCAATCATACCCAATTACAAATTGTAATGAGAGAAAAACATTCTGGCAGAGGCTTAGCTGTCTTAGCATATGTTTCAGGAGATTCCAGTAAGTTTATGGTATTCTTTTCTGAAATCTTAATCTTCATTCTGAAACACTACAGTCAAGACTAAGGGAACTTCCTCCAAATCTAGGAAGTCACAGATAAAATCATGGCTGAGCAATTTAGAGAGCTGTGTGCATTTATGTAAGTAATACATGTCTCTGAGTTTATTTCCTCATCTGCCAAATGTGTACATACCACGTGCTCCACTGGGTTACTGTGAAGGTTGGGGGAAAAAATGAACAACTAGGGCTTACATTCAAATACCGGGGATCTAACTGGCACATTTACAATATGGTAGCTGCTACTACTGTTATTGAGCATTGTTTAATGTGCTCATAATTATGTTTACACATCAATTATCACTCCACTTAAGTTAAAAAAAATGTATTTATATGTTCTGCATGACCGTAAAATATTCTACATTGAATTTTTAAAAGGAAGAAAGAAATATAAAAGGAGGAAATAAATGTAGAAAGAAAAGAGAAAGAAAGATTGGAAAAAAGAAAGCTAGTTACACAGACATTAAACCAAGATTAGCAAGACATTTTAGCGAGTAGAACTGGCAAACAGTTACACTGACAACCCTGAAGCTTCATATAAACCACTCATTAACTGTCATTGAACTTACCAATTAAGTGTGACCAACTTGAAGCAAGATGAACTTTCTCCTATGCTGAGGTGTCCTCAATAAAGCTGTGGAATAAAACTTGCAGGTTTTCTATTTAAAGCCATTCCTTTATTGCTAAACAGTTGGTCTGAGAGGAAGGCAGCAAGCAGGGTTAGAAAGAGAAAAAAGAGGAGGATAAAAATGAAGAGAAAAACAACATGCGATTGTGGCCAAATCTCTTCCCCCAATCCTTTCAGACTCTCCTCGCATTCTAACCTGTAGCTGCTGAGAGCTGTCGTTGAGATTGTCCTCCCTTCGCCGAGCCTCCTCTAGCATCTGTGCACTCTTCTTTTTCTCCACCTGTTCCTTGTGCTTCAGATTTGCTACCTTCTTATTCTGGTCTTTCACTTGCCTAATGATAGGAGGGGGAAAAAAAAAAATCAAGCTTTGCATATGTATGAATGAATAAAAAAGAATGTGTTTATTTACAGACTTAGATCAGTGGCACCAAGGAACAGCTAAAAACCATGAAAGAATCCCTGCTGCAAATTTTTTTCAACAATTGCAAAATTTGTCCTATCAACTGTAGCAAATTATTTACAAAAATAAAATAGTTTTCATCTATAGAATGTGTACTTTGAAAAACAACGAAGTCATAAAACCAAAAAAAAAAGGCATGGGATAATCTGAAATGACAAAAAAGAAACTAAGTCAGAGATTTATGCTGGAAATATGGAAGCAGCTTCCTGACATCAATGTACTGAAATATTAGAATGGCTGATCAAGAAAAGTTGGGTAATACAATTCTAATTTTGCCATTATTAAGTATTTCCAACATCCACAAATATAGCTTTAAAATAATTATAAAAATAATATAAAAATCTAGAAACCCAGCATAAGAAATAGAGCATTATATCTACAACTGAAACTTCCTATATGCCTCTCTCTATCCTATTCCACAGCCTACCAGTCATTGTTAAACATAACCTACATCTTAAAACATATGTTTAAAACCCACTTGCAATTATTATAGTTTTGATATAAATATATGTATATAATATCCTTCATTCAATGCTGCCAGGCATTTCTGCTATAACTGTGCAAGAGTTTCTCCAAGGTATAGGCCTAAAAAGGGAATTGCTGGGACACACAGTAGATACACCCTATTTTCCAAGAAGTTATATGAATGTGTACTCTGACTAATGGAGCATAACAGTGTTCATTACACTCCTTTACATCCACTAATAGTTGGTAATACCTGACTTTCTAAATTCTGCCAATCTGGTAAATATAAAATGGCATCTCATTATAGTTTTAAAATGCATGCTCCTGACTACATAGACCTTTCATATGGTATTTGGTCATTCCTATTTCCACTTCTGTGAAATAGTTATTCATGGCTCTTGCCCAGTTTTAAAAATAGGGTATTGTTTTCTTACTGACTTATAGGTATTCTTTGTATATTATGGACAAAAATACTTTATCATATAAATATTTTCTTCCAATCTATAAATTATGTCTTTGATTGCTTTGTGGTATCTTTCATTTATAAAATTTTATTTTATTTGAGTTGGAGTCTCTGTCACCCAGGCTGGAGTGCAGCATACTCACAGCCACTCCAGCATCGACCTGCTGGGCTCCGATGATCCTACTACAGGCACGAGTAATCATGCTTGGCTAATCTTTTGTTTATTTATTTATTTACTGTAGAGACGAAATCTTGCCAAGTTGCTTAGGCAATCCATTTGCCTTGGCCTCCCAAAGTGCTGGGATTACAGGCTGAACCACCAAGCCTGGCCTATAGGATTTTAAATTACTTCAAATGTACCAACCTTCTCCTGAGGCCAAGGTGAGTGGAGTGCCTGAGCCCACGGGTTCGAGACCTGTCTGGGCAACTTGGCGAGACCTCATCTCTACAATAAATCAAAAACTAGCCAGTAGCGCGTGGTAGCACGTTCCTGTAGTGCCAGCTACTTGGAAGGCTGAGGCGGAAGGATTGCTGGAGCCCCAGCAGGTCAAGGCTGCGGTGGCCGGGAGCAGCCATTGCACTCCAGTCTGGACGACAGAGTGAGACTCCAACTAAAAAAAAAAAAAAAATGTTATATGGGCCAGGTGCAGTGGCTCAAGCCTGTAATCCCAGCACTTTGGGAAGTTGAGATTGAGGAGACTGCCTGAGCCCATAGGTTCGAGAATAGCCTGGGCAACTTAGCGAGACCTCAGCTCTATAATAAATCAAAAAATTAGCTGGGCATGGTAGAGCATGCCTGTAGTTTCAGTTACTTGGAAGGCTGAGGCAGAAGGATTGTCTGAGCCCAGCAGGTTGACACCGGGGTGACAGTTAAGTGTGCCACTGCACTCCAGCCTGGGCAATAGAGTGAGATTCCAACTCAAAAAAAAAAAAAAAAAGTTATATCAATAGTATAGGCTGTAGAAGAAGAAAAAGTAAAAGTATAGACTGTTTACTGTGATTGAAGTTTAGTTATTATAAAGTTAAAACAGACTGTTATTACTATAAGATATTTTATGTAACTAGGGTGACCACAAAGAAAAACAATTCATAGTAATAATTAAAAATACAGAGAAGTCAGATCACTTGAAATTAGCCAGTTGTAAAAACAAAAAGAAAAAGTAACAAAAGCATACCGCTACCAAAAAAAATCATCAAATTACAAATGAAGACAGCAAGAGAAAAAGGAAGATACAAAGACTCTACAAAGCAGTCAGAAAACAAGAGGACCTTATCTGTGGATAATTACTTTAAATATAAATGGATTAAATTCTCCAACCTAAAGACAGAAATTTTTTAAAAAGGTCCAACAATGTGTTGCCTACAAGAGACTCACTTTAGCTGTAAGGACATACATCGGTTGACGGTAAAAGAACAGTAAAAGATAGTTCATGCAAATGGTAACCAAAAAAGAATAGGAGTGGCCTTACATGTAAGATACAATAGACTTTCAGTCAAAATCTGTCATAAGAGATCAAGCATGGTGGCTCACATCTATAATTCCAGCACATGGGAGGCCAAGGCAGGAGGATGGCATGAGCCTAGAAATTTGAGACCAGCCTGAGCAACATAGCAAGACCTGTGGCTAAAAATAAAACTTAAAAACTAACCAGGCGTGATGGCACACACTTGTAGTTCTAGATATTCAGGAGAATGATGCAAGAAGATCGCTTGTACCCAAGAGTTTGAGGCTGCAGTGAGCTATAATTGTGACACTACACTCCAGACTTGGCAGCAGAGACCCTGTTTTCCAAAACAAAAAAGTGTGTGTGTGCATGTGTGTGTGTCACAAGAGACAAAGAAGGATACTATACAGTGATAAATGGGTCAATTCATCAAGTGAATATAACAACTGTAAATAGCATGAGAAAAACTGAAAATTTCACAAATATGTTCAAATTAAATAATATACTCTTGAAAAACCAATGGGTCAAAGAAGGAATCAAAAGGAAATCAAAAAGCACCTAAGACAAATGAAAATGGAATCAAAGCATATTAAAAATTACAGGATGCAGGAAAAGCAGTTCTAAATGAAGAGTTTATGGCAATAAACACCTAAATTATAAAATCAAAAGATCTCAAGTAAACAGCCTAATTTATACCTCAAGGAACTAAGGAAAACACTACCACTAAACCCAAAGTTAGGGGGAAAGGAAATAATAAAGAGCAAAATAGATAAAACAGAGACAACTAGCCGGGTTCAGTGGCTCAGCCTGTAATCCCGCGCCTTTGGGAGGCTGGGGTGAGTGGATTGCCTGAGCCCACGGGTTCGAGACCCGCCTGGGCAGCGAGACCTCATCTCTACAATAAATCAAAAAGTCAGCCGGGCGTGGTAGCGCACGCCTGTAATTCCGGCTACTCAGAAGGCTGAGGCGGAAGCATCGCTGGAGCCCAGCAGGTCGAGGCTGTGGTGGCCGGGAGCGGCTACTGCACTCCAGTCTGGGCGACAGGGTGAGACTCCAACTCAAAAAAAAAAACAAAAAACAAAAAACAGAGACAACTGAAAAGATCAACAAAACTAAGAGTTGATTTTTTAAAAAGTTAGCAAAATTGACAAGCCTTTGGCTAGACAAGCCATGGAAAAAAAGAAGGAGAATTCAATTAAATAAAATCAGAAATGAAAGAGAAGGTATTACAACTGATAGCAAAAGAATACAAAGGGATTATGAAAAATCATACACAAGCAACTTGCATCAGCTAGAAGAAATGAATAAATTTCAAGAAACATACAACCTAACAAGAATGAATCACAAAAAATAAAATGTAGAGATAGTAACCAATGAACAGACCAATAACAAATAAAACGAGCCGGGCTCGGTGGCTCAGCCTGTAATCCCGCACTTTGGGAGGCTGAGGTGAGTGGATTGCCTGAGCCTGGGGGTTCGAGACCCACCTGGGCAACTTGGTGAGACCTCATCTCTACAATAAATCAAAAATTAACTGGGGGTGGTAGTGCACGCCTGTAGTTCCAGCTACTTGGAAGGCTGAGGTAGAAAGATCTCCGGAGTCCAGCAGGTTAAGGTTGCAGTGGCCGCTCCTGGCCACTGCACTCCAGTCTGGGCAACAGAGTGAGACTCCAACTCAAAAAACCAAAAAACAAACAAATAAAACAAGACTGAAGCAGTCATCAAAACCTCCTGACAAAGAAGCTCAGGACCAGATTCATGGATGAATTCTACCACACATTTAAAGAAGAACTAATACTAATCCTTCTGAAACTCTTCCAATAAACTGAAGAAGGAACACTTCCAAATTCATTTTAAGAGGTCAGTATTGCCCTCATACCAAAGCCACATAAAGGAGACTGCAAGAAAAGAAGAATTACAGTCCAACATCTCTGATGAGACTAGATGTGAACCCCCCACCCCAAAATACTAGGAAACTGAATTCAACAGCACATTAAAAGGATAATTCACTATATCAAGTGAGATTTATCCATGGAAGGCAAGCATGGTTCAACAAATGCAAATGAACAAACATGATACACCCCATTAACAGTATTAAGGATGAAAACCATATGATCATCTGAATAGATGTAGAAAAAGTATTTGACAAAATTAAGTATCCTTTCATGATTAAAAATTCTATACCTAACATTTATTTATTTAAATCAATTTAATGTACTGAATTACATAGGTATAGAAGGAAAGCACCTGAAGACAACAAAGGCCACATATGACTTGCCCAAAGCTGATATACCCAATGGTAAAAAACAAAGTTTTTCCTCCTAAGATCAGGAACAAGACAACGGTACCCGCTGTCAACATTTCTATTCGAAAAAATACTGGAAGTCCTAGCTAATTAGTCAAGAAAAAGAAATAATAAAAGACATACAAATCAGAGGAGTTAAATTGTCTCTGGTTCCAGACGACATGATTTCATACACAGAAAACCCTATGGACTGC